TATGGTATCATGTACATGTGAATGCAGGTGTGTATGGGTGTGTGTGTATGGTAGCATGTACATGTGAATGCAGATGTGTATGGGCGTGTGTGTGGTAGCATGTACATGTGAATGCATGTACCTGCAGAGGCCAGGGGTGTTGGAGCCCCTGGAGCTGAAGTAATGGGGTTTTGAGTTCTGGGAACTGAACTTGGGTCCTCTGGAAAAGCAGTACATGCTCATAGCCACTGAGCAACGCTCCAGCCTCCTGACATGTGGCAGTTTCATTACTGTCCCTGTGCTACTGGGATAGTAGCAGCTGAAGACACCGAAGGAGTTTCAGGTGCTGGTGAGGCTGTGAGGGGACTGACCTTGCAGTACACCTGTTGATGTTTAAGAAGGAAAAAGTTGGTTTTTTTTTTTTTTTAATAATGCTATTGATTAGATTGTCACCCTTATTTTAGGGGTTTTCTAATCTATTTTGGTACATGTGAAAAGTATATAAGAAATTAACAAACTATTTTTGTAATTTTAGAAGTGGAAAATATGTGTACAAACCTGTCATGAATCAAACATGCTGTCCTCAGTATACAATAAGGTAAGATCTACAATGAAAAGATTGCATGTATTTAAAGTAGAATCTTAGACTTTTAAAATATTATTACTAGCCGGGCAGTGGTGGCGCACACCTTTAATCCTAGCACTTGGGAGGCAGATGCAGGCTGACTTCTGAGTTCAAGGCCAGCCTGGTCTACAGAGTGAGTTCCAGGACAGCCAGGGCTACACAGAGAAACCCTGTCTCGAAAAAAAGCAAAAAACAAACAAAAAACATTATAAGGAGAAGGAAAGTAAATGAACTGTCTTTTCTACATTCTGATTTGATTCATGTATTGACAAATAGATCCTAATATTGTTTCATCAGTCTAGTCCTTGTACAAAGATGATATGAAAAAATTCTTTGTTAGATAGTGGATACTATGAAATATTGGTAAATATTTAAATTACTTTGTTTGTTTGTAGCAGGGTTTCTCTGACTGTCCTGGAACTGGCTCTGTAGACTAGGCTGGCCTCAAACTCAGAGATTCGCCTATCTCTGCCTCCTGAGTGCTGGGCTTAAGATGTTTGATACCCTTTGGCAGTCTTTTATTTTATTTTATTTTTTAAATGAAAGAAGTAAACTATTTTTTCCTTTGCAAGTGAGTTTTTTCCTTTGTCAGTTGGTCAATTGTTGGTAGCTTTTTGGCTAAGGGTGAAAGTTCATGTCTGCTTTCCCTCTTTGTGCTGGAACCCTGTCTTAGTTAGGGTTTGTGTTGGTATAGTGAAATACCATGACCAAAAACAAGTTAGGGAGAAAAGGGCTTATTTATTTGGCTTATACTTCCACATCACAGTGTATCATTGGAGGAAGTCAGGACAAGAACTCAAGCAGGGCTAGAACTTGGAGACAGGAGCTATGCACAGACCATGCTCCCCATGGCTTGCTCAGCCTGGTTAAGAACTCAGGACCACCAGTCTGGGGATGGTACCACCCACAATAGGTTGGGCCCTCCCCCATCAATCACTAATTAAGAAAATGCCCTACAGCTGGATTTTATGGAGTCCTTTGATCAGTGACTCCACTGGATGTAACCCATTCACTATCTGTCACTGGATGTTTCACTTGGTGACAAAGATGTCTGGTTGGGACCTTTCTTCATTATTTGGTAACTCCATTTATATTTCTTTCATGTATGTTTCTATTTTAGGAAGGTTCTAAAGTAGTGGGTTTTCATATGATCCCTCAACAGCCTTTAGTGTTAGTTGATTCTCCACATTCTTACCATTCATGTGCATCCCCTTTCCTCATTTAATCCTTTTATCTAGTTTCCCCACTGACCTCTATAACTATATATTCTACTTCTCTGTCCTTGGGGGTATCCTCTTTTCCTTCCTTGGTCCCTTTCTTGATACCTAACCTTTGTGGCCATATGGGTTGTAGCATGCCTTTTGAAGGCTTAAAAGCTAACATCCACATGTAAGGAAAAATATACAGTATTTGTATGGGAGTTTTTGTTTTGTTTTTTTGAGATAGGGTTTCTCTGTATAACAGTCAGGGTGTCTGGAACCCATTTTGTAGACCAGGCTAGCCTCGAATGCAGAGATTTGTCTGCCTCTGCCTCCTGAGTGCTGGGATTAAAGGCATGTGCCATCATGCCTGGTAGCATTCTTTTTCTTATTTCCTTGTTTGAAATGTATTCTTTGAAGTCTTTGTGCTGAGTGCCCTGGTATTCAAGTTTAGTGGTATGCCTGTTTTCATTCATCACATGTACACATGAGAGGATATGAGAAAGCCCTTGTCTGAGTTGTTCTCATTGTATCCTTCAGATTGGAAGCATTTGCTTGAAATACTTTGCTAATAGATTGTTTTTCCTCTAGTGCTTCTATTCAAATATTGAACCCTTAGATTGCTTTTTTTACTTTTTTCTTTCCAGTTTCTCTCTCTCTCTCTCTCTCTCTCTCTCTCTCTCATCTTTTCAGAAATTTTCTTTATTTTTTAAATCTACTTAAATTTTCTCCATCAGTTTCTACTACTGAGAACAATTTTTTTTTCCTGGGGGTGGTGGTGGTACTGCTGTTGTGGTTGTAACAAGTTTAGAAAAAATAGAGATTTCCTCAAAGAAGTTTTTAAGTTTTCGTTTATACATAGTCTGTATTCTTCAGTTTGTTTGGTACCTATCTTTGTAGTAGAGACTGCTCAGTGTTCTGATTCCAGCTTTTCAGTGTCCCAGTAAAAATTTCATCTAAAGAATGGGTCATTTTTTTTCCTATAAGCATTAGGTGGGCTATTCTGTGATGTAAATATTGTTATGTCTGATCACTTTTTTGAGAGAATGTGTGCAGTGCTGATGGTCAAAGGTTTGATGGAGCCCTCAGCATTCAGTATGTAGACTTTGTTCTGCTTCTTGTTTTAAGTGTATGTGACGTGCAGAAGGCCCTGTCTTTTGCTCTTCCCTGAAAGCTGAATTGTGTAAGGAGTCAGCTATGTGGAATTAAGAAGGAGGTCTGACATGGGACCGTCTTGAAAACCGATTTTGAATGGGTCTTCTTAATTTTAGTCCCAGCTTCCCTTCAGACACACTACATATCAACAATATATAAGATTTTTAGGGTTAATGTATAGAGTGGTTCTCAACCTCCCTAATGCTATGGCCCTTTACTACAGTTCCTCATGCTGTGGTGACTCCTAACCATAACATTATTTTTGTTGCTATTTCATAACTGTACTGTTATGAATTTTAATGTAAATATCTGTGTTTTACTATGGTCTTAGGAGACCCCTGTGAAAGGATGATTTGCTACCCAGAGTGGTTGTGACCCACAGGTTGAGAACCACCGACAGAGAAGAAATTTATCTTACTGTTTTTCCATTGTTGCATTAGGATTGGATTTTGTTTACCTAAGTCAGTTACCCCACACACACACAATGTCTGTCTGTCTGTCTGTCTGTCTACCTACTTATCTACCTATCTATGTTTTTCACTTTCCAGTAGTTTTCCGCCTTCTCTTTTTCCTCTGGTTTATATGTTTTTTTCTCCTCCGCCTTCTCTTTTTGATTTTTACCTTTTTAAAAAAAAATCCATTAACTGTAGTTATTGTGAGATTTGGAGTAGGATTATGTCTCTTCTTCACAAAAACCCCAAGCATGAAATTTGCTGCAATCTACAATATACTATCCTGAACTGAGCTTACTAGAAGCTTTAGTTCACTTTTCAAACATTTGTTTGCTTTTCTAGGTGTCATCCTTTACAGTTTCAGCCATCAAAATCTCACAAGAAAGTTTTGAAAAAAATGCTGAAATTTCTGGCTAAAGGAGAGATCTCGAAAGGCAGTTGTGAGGGTAAGATGAGATCTGGTCTGGAAACTGTTTGCTGTAAACATTAAATGTATCTCTCCACGGCTTTCCTTTTCACATGTCTAATGCAGGCCAGGCAGGGGAAGGGGACTTTTATAAAATAATCCTATACTAATATCATAAGGCCAGTGATGTAGTGACACCACCCTATGTCTCACTAGACCCACCATTGAGGATGTAGGGAATACATACTAAGAGAGCCTGTCTTTAAAAGAAAATTAAGGGTCATTGTAAAGATGTGAGTTTTGAATTGAAGTGTTTTATTCAAGTGCTTTGACAAGCCATCTGACTTGATTCTAATGATGTCTCTGTGAGCAAGATGCTCTAATGAGGGAAAGATGACTCAGCAGGTAACTGTCCTGCTGGACAAGCCTGACTCCCTGAGTTGGATCCTGGAATCCAGGTAAAAAGGCAGAAATAGTGTTGTGTAACCCCAGCGTTCCTAGTGAAGACGGGAGCCGGAGATGAGAGAATTGCCCCCAGCTTACAGTCCAGGACATAGGCCTGGGGTATACAGCACAGCAGAAGAAAAAAAATGAGACACTCATTTACAAAGAAGATAGAAGTCGATGACTGACTCCTGAAAGTTGTCTTCTGTCTTCCACACAGCTGCATGGCAAATGCACAATAGAAAAAATTGCTTTTTCACTAAACAGTATTTTATGAAATTATCTTAGTTATCTGATCAATTTTAAATTATCAGTGACTTGCCTATACCTAAAAGATTATTAGTATCATTTAACTTATTTTACTTCTTCAGATTTTCTTTTCAGTGTTTTAACATTTAAACCTTTTAAGTTCTCCTATAATTGATATCTAATCTTGGGAGTGTCATTCTCTGAGCTCTTTCTTACTACTGCCATAGGAAGCACCTAGTCCTGGGAACTTCCTACCCTCCTTTTAGCTTATTCACTCATTCCACAAGTAGGTTTTCAATGCCTCTGGGTGTTGTGGTAACTTTTTTAACCACTGGAAAGACAATAAGTGGCCAAGCAGGTAAGTTATTTGGGTTCTATGCACTGTCCTAGAGTAGGTGTGGCTTAGCAAAAAGGCCAGAAGGCTTGGTTTTAGAAGTTTGTTGCTAATTAGAATCTAAAGCTGGCAGCCCTGGAGCTTGATACCACACCCACACCCCAGTAGAGCTGTCTGGCAGGTGGCCCATCTGATGGAATAATATATATTAAATTAGTTTTTGGTGTCTAGAAATCACAGTCCATAGGTAAATTGATTGATTGCCTATGTGGCTTGTACATTGGCTCTTTGTTTAACTTGTTATGGGCTTCTCAATTGTGTCTAAAACTGATCTCACAGGCCGTGATAGAGTCACCAGTTCAAGGGGGAAGGGTTGAAATCTTAGGTCACGATTTTCTTTAAGTGAGACAAGATTTGTTATATCACTTGGGTATATTGCATCCTTGGGACCTTGAGTACAGCTGGCCCAGTGACATATAGTTCCCTGCTAGAGTACCATGTCTCAGGTGAAGTAGCTCCCTTGCTTTAGAAGGCAGGCCATGGATTTGGCAGCTACAGTAACAGGGTTACTTACAGTTATATAATCCTAACTGTGCCAAACAGTACAGCTGATGATGGCCTTTCATTTTCTCATTTGTAGATGAGCCCATGGATTCTACAATGGAGGATGCTGTTGATGGTGACTTTGCATTAATGAACAAGTTGGATATAAAGTGTGACCTTAAAACACTCAGCAGTGACCTCAAAGGAAGCATAGAGGGTGAAGAGAAGGAGAAAGAGAAGAGTTTGAAGAAAGAAGGATCTAAAGAGTTAATTCATCCACAAGCTATAGAAGAGAAGTTGGGCTCTGGTGAACCATCACATTCAATCAAAGTTCATATTGGTCCTAAGCCAGGTAGTATAAATTTTGTATTACTTGATAGTTACACCTGGAGACTTTGATTAAATTTTCTTGTGTTATAATTTTTTTTTTTTGGGAGGGTGGAGGGGTAAGGGATTTTTTTGCCTTTCTCCTTTCCTTCTCGACTCGTCTCTTCTTTCTTTCTCTCTTTCTTTCTTTCCCTTTCCCTCCCTCCGTCCGTCCCTCCCTCCCTCCCTCCCTCCCTCCCTCCCTCCCTCCCTCCCTTCCTTCCTTCCTTCCTTCCTTCCTTCCTTCCTTCCTTTCTTTTTCTTTTTTTCTTTAACTTAGTTTTTCAAGATAGGACTTCTCTGTGTAGCCCTGGCTGTCCTGGAACTCACTCTGTAGACCAGGCTGGCCTTGAACTCAGAGATTAGCCTGTCTCTGCCTCCTAAGTGTTGGGATTAAAGAGATGCTTCACCACCCTTGGCTCGGGGAAAAAAATCTTAATCAGATTAGCTAATTATTTATTTGAAGACAGTTAAGGTTACTTTAGGGTTGGTTGCATGTTATTTCAGGAAATATGTAATGTCTGGGTTACTCAGTTTTTATTGATTACAATAGGGTGCATTAATACATGGTTTTAAAAATTAGAACAGACTTCATCAACCTGAGTGCTGTGAGCACAGAGTGTAATTGGAGACACAAGTATGTTAAAATGAGCAAGAACTTTTTTTTTTTTTTAAAGATTTGTTTCTTTTTATATATGGTGAGTACACTGTAGCTGTCTTCAGACACACCAGAAGAGGGCATCAGATCCCATTACAGATGGTTGTGAGCCACCATGTGATTGGTGGGAACTGAACAAACACAACACAACAATCAACCACCAGAGTGTGTTCTAGATGCAGAATGTTCCTAGAAATGTAGGCCAGAGAGATAGAAGATCTTTAAAGTGTTCATTTCTACTTGCAGAAGCAGAAGAGTGGGCAGATGTTTAAAATGGATAAATGGATGGATGAGTGAATGAACAGATGACTTTCTTTCAATAATAGAGCTGCCTTGAGACATTTGTGTGACCTCTTGTCTTCTTTGACTGCTCCTATCTCTTGGGTATAATTTTAACGACCCTGTGAAACTTCAGTTTGAACTCTTTGGACTTTTTCTGTGTAATCTATAATACTTGAAAAAGACATGTATAGAGCCAAATGTCATTGATCTAATATTTTGACATTATTTTTAGGTAAAGGGGCTGATTTGAGTAAGCCTCCATGTCGAAAAGCAAAGGAAATGAGGAAAGAAAGGAAAAGGTTAAAACTGATGCAGCAGAACTCAGCTGGAGCCTTTGAGGGTTTCCAGGCTCAAGGTCAGCCAGTATCTTTGTTACCAAAGGCTAAATCCAACCAGCCCAAGTCACTTGAAGATTTGATTTTTGAATCTTTACCGGAGAATGCATCGCACAAGTTAGAGGTACTTGGAGGGCTTTTGTGACTTGGTTGCATTGCATTTTGTGTTGGGTACTTACTTTCTTTGCACTAATACTTACCAGTTAGGATTTCACTATTTAGCATTTGTGTTACCATAAGTCAACTGCTATTTGAGAAAAAAATTTAAGAGCTTTTGAATATATTTTAGGCAATTAGTAATATTGTTTTAAAAAATTCATTTGTAGCATGTTTTTAAGCAAGGTACTCTGGCTTTTTGTGTTACTTGATTGTAATTAAGTAGTTGATAAAAACAAAAATATTGTAAATTTAATTTTATCTTTGAAGTTAAAATGGTAAAAGATAATTTAGATATTAAAAAACTAGAACTTAATAAGCAAATTGGTTTTATCATCATTATTTCAATCTAGGTTTTGATCGAGGTAGCACTGTTGCCATATATTCAAACCTGTACTAACTTATACTACTGTCTAACATTTTATACATGATGTGATAAAACATCATGACCACAAAGCAAGTTGGAGAGGAAAGGGTTTATTTGGCTACATTTCTCACATCACTGTTTATCACTGAAGGAAATCAGGATAGGAACTCAAGCAGGGCAGGAACCTGGAGGCAGGAGCTGATGCAGAGGCTGTGAAGGGGTGTTGCTTACTGGCTCTTCCCATGGCTTGCTCAGCCCCCTTTCTTACAGAACTCAGGGCACCAGCCTAGGAATGGCACCACTTGCAATGGGGTGGACCCTTTCTTATCAATCATTAATTAAAAAAAAAAAATGCCCTACAACCAGATCTTATAGGAACGTTATTTTCAGTTGATGTTCCTTTCTGTCAGATAACTCTAGCTTGTGTCAAGTTGACATAAAATTAGCCAGCACAACTACCAAATCCTTCCTCATTAAGATATCCCAGCCAGTTTAGCTAAAAAAAATTTTTTGTGCCAAATTCTCATTTTTCTCAAACTTTCATATTTCAAAACAAATTAAAAATTTCAATATTAATTATATATTAAAATTTTAAAAGACATTAGCCATAATGATGTAAACATATTCTCATGCATGATTTGAATTTGTAGCTTAATATCCAAGGCCATTAATGCTAATCTTAATGGGGCTGAAGTGATGGCTCAGTGGGGAAGAGTGAAGACCTTAGTTCGAATCCCTAGCTCCCATGTATTCATGGCTGTGTGTGCCTCTAACCTCAGTTTTGGTTGGTTTAGGCAGCCAGATCTCAGAACTTGTTAGCTAGCCAATTTACCTAGCCAAAATGGTGAGCTTCTGGTTCATTGAGAGGCCTTAATATGTAAAACAGTGGAGTTACAATCAGCTTGCCACTACAATTAGTATGCACTACACACACACAGACACATAGATATTTTAAAAGTTTTGTTATAGAGGTTTTATCAGACAAATTTTAACAACTTTGACTATTACAACTACTTGTTACTTAGTTACTGCTATTAACTCTCTTCCTTCCAGAATTGTAGAGAATTGAATATACTACTTAAGATACAAAGGGGCCTTTATCCTTTGATCATAAGTAGAGTAGTCAGTGAATCAGTCACACCTCAAGTAACAGTTCTGTTGGTCTCAGCATTTACGTTTTTAATATGGTAGTACCCAGGATGTGAGGGATTTGTATCCACTGGGTGTCACTCGTTTCTTTGCCAACATGACATGCCCCATTATGTCCTCATTGTATTGCATTTAATTTCCTTTTGCTGATATTTTACTAATGCATCTTAACTGTTAGTAATTAACGTTAAGATAAATGTTAGCAAGTCCTGTGCAGAGTTACCATTTTTGCTTATCCTCATCTAAGGTCCTGAAAGCTTTGGTTATTTGTCCGAGATGTTGACATTGTAAGATAATTGTAAAGGAAATATAATAGTGCATTTAACTTTACGGTGACATGCACACACTTTGTGAGAATTTCCTCTCATAGTTACACAGTTGTAGGTTTAGAGCTGAATAAAGGTACCTAAAGGTATATTTACAGTTTTTAGTCTTTCTCTCTCTTTCTTTCTTAAAGATTTATTTATTTTATATATATGAGTACACTGTAGCTGTCTTCAGACACACCAGAAGAGGCCATCAGATACCATTACAGATGGTTGTGAGCTACCATGTGGTTGCTGGGAATTGAACTCAGGACCTCTGGAAGAATAGTCAGTGCTCTTAACCACTGAACCATCTCTCCAGCCCATTTTTAGTGTTTCTGACTGACTTTTAGTAAGTTGTGGATGGCTAAAATTTGAGTGTTTGTGTTATCACAGGTAAGAGGAACCTGTCAGTTTACAGTAGAGATAGATGTTTTTAATTTGTCAGAGGTGAGGCTTAAATTTGGAGGGGATCTTCTTTTGCATTCTATAAGTAAACTGTAGATTGTAGCAATAACCTTTTCTTCATTTGCTAACTTAGCTGATTTTTAATGTTAAAATACATGTCTATGCTTTAATATTTTTTGAAACATGGTTTTTTGACTGAGCATGTCTGTTAGTGCATATTCTGTAGAATTGAATCAGTGAATGAATTAATAAACATTGTTTTTTAACTCCTTCTGAAGGTGAGGGTGGTAAGATCTTCTCCACCAAGTCCTCAGTTCAAAGCCACATTTCAGGAGTCTTACCAGGTCTATAAACGTTACCAGATGATTATTCACAAGGATCCACCTGATAAGCCAACTGTGAGCCAGGTCAGCAGGCCAAGTATGAGATTTTGGTATAATTGTACTATATTTTTGCTTATATCCAATTTGTAGCATAACTGCACAAAGATAAGACCGAGTGAGTGGACATTCTGTAAATGTGAATTCACTATCATTATGTGTTAAGTGCCAGTCATACAGAGTTTGAAAGTGGAAAGTCATGCCACGTTGTCTTTATTCAAAGCTGCTGTGTATTTATCTATATTTATTTACAAATCAGTCATGTAGCTTCAAGTTAAATACCCATGAGAAGGTGCATTTGACCTGGTGTGTTGCTATGCTTCATCCATGTTTGAAAGTCATCTAGAGAGTTCATAGCAGCTCAGTTTTCCCTTATTAATGGAATACCCATATATAAAAGAGATGGACTGGAAAAGGAAGAAGGTAGAGGTCTTTAATAGACTCCTTGTCCACTTACAATTTTATATAGCAGATAATTTGAAAAACAAACAAACAAACAAACAAAACATCTGGGAATGAAAAAAAGCCTAAAGCACTTCCTTCAGTAGAGGTGGCAGAAGTGCTGGCTGAGACCAGTTCAAAGCGGTAGCCATTAGTGTATGTGATAGTACTGCTGGTGAATAGAGAAAAACCAAAGTAGAAACAAATCGTCTGGCTCTTGTGAGTTTAAGGTTGTCTGAATGTTGGTAGAAAGTTGGCGCTTGGACCTGTGCCACTCCATTCCATTCCTGCTGCTTTGTGACAAACCCAAGGGCTGAACTTTGGAAGTGGTTTGCAGAGATCTTCCTCTAGCCTCACCTTCAGAAGTGTGTCAACAGGTAGAGTTGGTTCAATAGCATTGGCTTATATTTTCCTTGCTCTGAAGGTGAGGCTAGTACCTGCCTCCTTTGAGGACCCAGAGTTCAAGTCATCCTTCAACCAGTCCCTTTCTTTATATACCAAGTATCAAGTGGCTATACACCAGGATGCACCTGTTTTATGTGGAAAGTCTGAGGTACTGTTTCTTAAACATTTTTTTCCCGTGTACTGACAAGGTTGTAAAGAAGCATGATATATCTTGACTATTAAGTAGAGCTGATTGATGACTCTTTGAGTATCTCTTACTGAACTTTGTGGAAAAGATTCATACCTTGCATTTTGAATCCTTTAATAAAAATAATTGTAAGTTCAAAAAGTTTTTCCACCAGGCATCTGAATGCAGCATTATTAGTGTTTTGTCCTGCAGCCTAAGTCAGCAGACATTTACTGACTATACCTTGAGGTGGAAGAAGCAGACCTGTTGAGATTGTTGTATAGAATATCATCTAACAAGCACTTGTTGGGGGTCTTCTGTTTCTCAGGCTGTGGCTCTTAAATGAGTGAGAGATTCTACTGTTATACAGTGGGATAGAGGTCTGTTGGAATAAAGGAACCGACAGGTGCAGAGGTGACATTGAGTCAGGGATGGGCAGATGGGTAAGAGTATGTCTGGCCTGAAGAAGAGAGGGCTGTTCTTGGCAGCAGTTCAACCATGCTCAACAGTACGGAGGCTGAAGTACACAGGATGCTTGAGGAACACTTAGCTATGTAAGACAGTAGAGAAAATGAGTAAGCTCTGCAGTTTTAGTTAGGAGCAAGACTTTTTACAAGTTATTTTGGAAGCACAAAACACCTAAATGCCCTGAATCATTCAGCAGTTCTCAACGTGCTGCCATCTTTATTTTTGACTCCCTTTTCATGTTCTTTGCTATTATGTTGGATTATTTTGTTCCAAATCTTAGCCACTGTACCATTTTGTTTGTAAGTACTTTAGTATATATCTTTACTTACTAAAACTGTTTGATAATGAGCTAAAACAATCTAGGAAGAATTAAAAACATGTATAGAATACTTTAGTACTTAAGAAAAATCATCTTGGTAGGCAGAAGAAACCAAAGTTGAACTGATTTTTTTTTTTCTTGTGGTGCTGGATATTGAACTTTGTATATGATAGGCAAGCATTCTACTATAGTTTAGTTCTTGAAGTGATACTTCTTTTTTTAAGCAAGAGACTTTTCCTTGTATATATAATTCAGAACTAGCTTTATTCCTCCTGGAAATATCAGGGCTGTATCTTAGCTCATTGTCTTCCAGCTCCAGTTTTCTCTACAGTTGTTTAATTGCAGACTGACTCATGCTGGTAGGAGAATGAATATTGTTATTTTAGGGCTCCTCATTCTAACAGTCTAGACCTCAGCTTTTAAAAAGCAACAGGATTCTTTCCTGATAGCTTCAGCTTTCCTGAAGTTACAAAGATGTTGTATATTCTAATCCTGGGGCCAGTCACAGAAGCTGGGACAGTGAGGAACTAAAAATTAGTGGGTGGTGGAGGCTCTTCACCTGAACCACAAGTCTTTTTTTTTTTTTTTTTTGTAAGATTTATTTATTTTTTTTTTTTGAGTACATTGTAGCTGTTCAGACACACCAGAAATGGGCAGCAGATCTTATTACAAATGGTTGTGAGCCACCATGTGGTTGCTGGGAATTGAACTCAGGACCTCTGGAAGAGCAGTCAGTGCTCTTAACCACTGAACCATCTCTTCAGCCCCGAACCACAAGTCTTGAGGAGGAGGGACTGATTACTAGCATGCTGGATCTTCTAAGATCCTGTCTGGGGTAAAGTCACCATGATGGTGGATATATGGAGGAAATCAGTATTCAAGAATGGGGCGTCTCAGGGCAGAGCCCAGAAAACTTGATGGATTTTTACCTGCATTTTTCATTTCTGTGTATCTGTCATTTCGTTCTTCTGAATGTTTTTACTGCTTGCTTTTGTAATACATGATTTGTTTCTTGTATGATATCTAAAATCCTTTTAAGATTTTTTTGTTTAAATTTTGAGACATAAAGGAATCTATAAAAGTGCTTAATCTAGAATGTATCCCATGGATTTTATTTTATTGGGTCTACTTCAGATCCATATATACTAACTTTATTCCTTATAGATAAAGAAGTGTCATTTCCGTGGCTCTAGTTTCTTTTGTCTAGTCCCCTTTTGTACCATTCTGTTACTGTTAACACAAGTTTCATGTATGTTTGTTATAAATCAGTTATATTTTATATAATTTAAGTATAATTTATAATTATAAAAGATTAATTTCTGTTTTATATAATTGTTTATAATTGTATTTTATGTAAAATAAAAATATATTTTATACAGTTAATTTTATATAATGCCTTGGGGCTGGAAAACTGGCATGTAAGTAGACCTTCACTTCTGAGAATACTTACTTAAGGGAAAACTATTCATAGTCAAGTACTCATGATTGGGCAGCCAGTGTGCAAGACTGGAAGAGGTCTCTCTGGTTCCTTTCTGACCATCAGACAGAAAAGTATCTGGTGGAGTGTTGATTTGCTGTCTCCTCGAGCCTCCAGGCCTGAAACACCTTTGCTGTTCCCTTTTCCAGTGTTCTTCCTGTGTGGTATGTAGCTTGGTGTTTGCAGCCCCAGGAGAATGAAAAATGCTGTTCGTGTTTGCTAGATATAATTTGCTTTGAGGAAGTAAAGTGCAAGTACAAGCAGTTTATCCTGTTGTCAGTGATTTAAAGGTCTCCATGTTATCTAACCCAGAAGAGCTTTCAGCTTCCTTTTCTCTTAGTAGTTCTACTCTATTGTATTTAAAACTTAGTTATCCAATATATCAAAGACTGAACATCTGTCAGTTATGCAGAGACAAATCACATGTGGTCACATACTGCTTGTATAGATACTGAACTCTAGCTTATAATTAGCTGAATTTCTATGATGGTGGGATCTGAGTGTCTTAAATTTGGGGAAGACATAGGGGATTGAAGCTAGGATCTCATGCTAGGCATGTACTCTTCCTTTGAGCTATACCCATGACATCTAAAAAAAAAAAAAAAAATTAAAACCTGAGTTAACTTCAATATAGTAGAAGTCTAAGGTAATTTAATAATAAAAAAATGCTTTTTATGAGCAAGTCCAAAGTCAGGACTCAGTGGTATGGTGTAGCCCATCATAAGCTGTAAGAATTTGCTACTGATAGTAGTTAAATTGCCAAAGGCTTTTATTTTTAACATTTAAGAATTGAATTAACATTTACTTAAATTCATTGTTTCAAAGCTACTTTTGAATTTTCAGCATATTGTTTATTAATATTTTTGGGGAAGATACAAGGAAAGGGAGTTCAAGCTAGTTCAGGAAACATTTGTTTTTACAATTTCTATTGCTTAAAATTTCCTAAACATTGTCTTAGATCACAAGTCAGCATCATGTATAACATTAGAGATAAGAAGATCTTCATAATTATATGTAGCTAAACTTTTCTTACATATAATAGAGAATTAAAGAATTTATCCAAAAAACCACAAATGGTTAGTACAGGGTAACATGTAGGAAAGTTAGTACTTTTTATGTAAAACCATGGGGCTGGCATATTAGAAGGTTGAGGTTGGCGTAAATAATTAATATAGAATAATCAACATCAATGAATGAAGTATTGAACTCAACAAATTTTCCAAATAATTGAAGCATTCTATGTTCTCTGAAAATTGAAAATGACAGTCCTCCCATAGTATATTTTGTTCTTGTCTGTTCTCAGACAGAACAGTTAGCAGGATGTGGCCAGTTGATAGTGACTTTCATGTCTTTAGGAGTATTATTTTGCTCTTTTTTGTTTTGTTTTGTTTTGTTTTTTGAGACATGGTTTCTCTGTGTAGTCCTGGCTATCCTGGAACTCACTCTGTAGACCAGGCTGGCCTCGAACTCAGAAATCCATCTGCCTCTGCTTCCCAAGTGCTGGAATTAAAGGCATGCGGCACCACCGCCGGGCTATTTTGCTCTTGCTATAGTTCAGTATCCCTGTGCTCCTACCATTTTCTTTCCAACAAAATTACTGCTCTGTGTCACCTCTTAACCTCTTTCTTTCTTTCAGTTCTTGTATTAGTTGTTGTGTATTCAAATTTGTTTCCTTTTTAATTTTTTTGATATATTTGTTAGAACATGTATTGTGTACCTCCTAGTAAGGTGCTGTTTCAAAGGCATTAGTA